GTCAAGTATTTTTGAAGCAAAAAGATATTGTGCTCGACCGTTTTTAGTTATTACGTTTCACGCAGCAGCGCACGAGACCGTATTACCCCCTCTATTCCGTATACGTTTTCGTCGCAGTCGTACACTGAGCAGCGATTGCGACTTGCGGTTCCCGCCGTTGCTGGCATCTTCGCTTATCGTATTCGTTATTTCTGTTATCGACATTCATGTTTCTGGTCAAGGTTTATAGATAATAACTATTATCTATAAACCTTGGTTTCTGGTGACGTTCGGTGTAAATGTGTTTATTCGCCGCCGCCAGTGGTGTATTTGAGGGGAGCGATGGGGGCAATCGCCTTCCCCGAGAATTTTTAGACCAAGACAAATTTAATATAAGTAATGGGTATTTTACTAAGAAACAAAAATTATGATTTATTTTAAAGTATTACTACATTTGAAAACTTTTCAAATTTTACACCAATTTAAATAACGCAAAACGTTAAATTTTTCATAACGTTTTAATTGTCAATAATGGTAAACGGAAAATTTTTTAAAAGTTTAAATTTTAATAACGTTTAAACGCTTAAATTGAATAACGTTTAAATTATTTATAGCGTTAAACGCTTAATTGCTTATAACGTTTATATGTCCCATAACGATAAATAATATACCTATATTATTTTGATTGAAGACCCAGTCCATACTTAGTGAAAAATTAGATAAAACACAAGCGAAACTTTCAAAACACGGAGAGGTGTTAAAAAAGAATTACACAAAAGACCATTCAAAGTGGATCTGGCATTAGATTAAAAAAAAAAAAAAAAACCAAAAATATTAAGGATTCACCTGGTATAAATATAACCAAAAATTTTACTTGTAAATTTTGAGCCTGAATTAAAGGAAAAATTTGAGTCGCCCCCCCCCCTCTAGAAGTAAGTCTAAATACGCCCCTGGACGCCGCGCCAGTATATAATAGAAAAACCACGTTTTATTTGTTGTAATTTTGTAGACCGTACTATTTATAACATAATTATAATTATATTATAATTTGTTATTTGCTATTTCTAAAACATATAAACAGAAATTAAGAAAAAGGAGAAATAATTTAAAAAAAACCACAAATACAATGTGTATGCTGAATTTATTAGTGCTCTTATAAACATTTAAGATCCACTAAAAAATTCGTTATCTCATAAATTACAGATAGAATTAGTTTGTTCTGCGTGCCATAATAAGAGAATACAAATAACTCAAAACTATATTATTTAACTTAACGTACCTAATGAAAATGAAACGGTAACTTTTAATACAACGTTAGATTATTTATTCAGAGAAGTGTTAATCAGGGCCGTATTACGGCTTAGGCTGTTTAGGCTAAAGCCTAGGGCGGCAAATTTTAATGGTCGAAATGAAATAGCAAATGTTTGAATTGAGTTTGAGAAATTTAGAGTTTTATTTATTAATAATATAGTAAGAAAACATAAATTATTAGTGTTATGTTTTTACTTTATTATTGATCATTTTTTGTAATATAGGACGTGGGGTTTTTTTACTAACTTTTAGAAGTGAAATATCAATACGTAAAGTAGTTGGTAAATTTATTTCAGCCTATGGGCCGCATAAACCTTAATCCGTCCCTGGTGTTAATAGAAGGCGTTATTTGCAGTGCCTGTAATACTATTACAGATCATACGCAGATAACAAATATAGTTAATACTAATGAATATTTGTACTTTCAAATACAACTTTGGAATAATGTCAGTACCAAAATATCAAACCTAACCATTAATGCATTACCCATTAGAATAATTAAAGTTGATGGTAAATCGTATGGTTTAAAATCTGTCATCTGTCATCATGATCTATCTATGAATGAAGCCCATTATACGAGTACAAGCATAAGTTCACATCAAAATAAATGGCTACGATGTAATGACAATGCAATACATTTTAAACGATGGCCTCGAGGGGGTAAAAATGTATATATTATAATAATGAAAAAAAAAATTGAACATGATTTTTAAAAAAACATATATAGTATATATAAAATATGTATTAAATAAACAAACATTATTATAAAATAAATTAATAAAAACATAAAAAATTTCATATTACATGTCAGTACATAAAAATATGTTATAAAAAACTTCTGATATCCCAACAAAAACACTTCGTCGAACTCCGTGTAAAAAATTGCTAAGTAAAAAAAACTAGTCATCTATAAGACTTCAGCATTATTGAGATGTGATATCATGAATAAATGCTAAGTAAATTAAATTTTCAATAAATTTATTCTATCTCAATCATTTATTTACTTGGAAAGAATTTATTTATTTCGACAAATAAACATGTCTGTTTATAACTGGACTATTTAACAAATTTCCATGACAAATGTTACTAAATTTGTTTTATAAAAAGTCTTAATTATTAATTTATAAAGAAAATAAATTCTAACAAAGTAAATAAATGATTGAGATAGAATAAATGTATTGAAAATTTAATTTACTTAGCATTTATTCATGATATCACATCTTTATAATGCTGAAGTCTTATAGATGACTAGTTTTTTTTACTTAGCAATTTTTTACACGGAGTTCGACGAAGTTTTTTTGTTGGGATAAATTTATTTTTTAAATAATATTATTAAAGATGTTTAAGATTATATTGTATTATTATACTATATTATATTGTATGTTATTGTATATTTTAATTTGTTTGTGCAAAAAAGACTGAATTTAAATCAAATATTAATTTGGAGACTTTTTCACCGATTATTTTTTTTCCTAATATCAACCAATAGATGTTCATCGTATTTTAGTTTTATTTTTGTGGTACGATATGCAATATTTTGTTTTACAGATTAATACTGTTTTTAATTTTGAAATGTCTGATTGAGGGAAATTGTTCCACAGGCACCCCTAAATTGTTTTATGATATTTTTTTAATTAACGAAAGTGACCCGTTAACTGCATATTCAGATATATATATTCTAGATTAAAAAAAAAGGTTAAGACTGTTTTGAGTACAACAATAATAGTCAGTATGATCTATAAAATCATTTTTTTCTTTAGTACATAAAAAAATATTTCTGTAAGTTTAGAATAACATATTCTACATTTTATACATTTTTGGAGTAATTTCCATAATTGTTTCTTATCTTTAATTTGAATATAATGATTAAATAAGTAAAATCAAATATTATTATTTTGCAATTTGCTTTTATTGTTTAATTTTGTTTTTCAACATTAGGCGATATAAACATTAAATGGTAAAAACAGTATTTTCAAGTAATAAAAAAACAAACAATTTTTATAATGATTTATGAAATATCACTCATACATTTTTGTATATGTGTAAGCCATTTTCACATTACTTTCTTTAGTCATGCATTATTAGAAAAATTAAAATATTCTAGGTTTCATTGACAACTAACAGTTATCTTTGTAGTCTATTACTAATTAGTCATTACATATAACAACTAGTTAGCATGAAAATATAATTGTATAAAATCAACACATCATAAGTAGTTTAAATAAGTTGTTACTAAAAAAAAATTAAAGTAAATTTTATAATAAAAACACTAAAAAGTATAAATACAATTTTTATAGTGTAATTTATAAACAAATAATATGATAATTTTATTTTGTAAATTATTACAAATAGAAATATATATAAGTTTTATATAAAAATGTTCCTATATGTGTGTATATATACATACACAAATAAATTTAGGTAAAAATGTCCATAGATACAAAAATCAATGTTGTAAAAATAAATAGTAAAAAACGACTGACAGTATATTTTTAAAACAAATTTAATAAAATGTAAGTAATTTAGTAAGTAAAATGTAATTATATAATTATGAGGAATCTTAAATGACAACTAGTAGTATCCCAGCTGGTTTTTCAGATCAACCAAAAGTATATCTTAATGCAATCATAATATTTTCAATAATATTGTGCAATAAATTAATCGTATTACAATAACCATGCTGTAAATTGATTATTGCAGAAATGTCACAAGTTACATAACGTTTCTGAAATTATTGATTCATATTTATCACACACACATTCAAATGATATGGACATAGAGTTGATAATTGATACAAGATTTTATGCGTAGATACTAGAATGAAGTAGAGAAAAAATATACATAAATACTATACGTTTATCATGTAAACACAGTAAAATTAAAATAACTATGAAATAACAAATAATTTAATTTTGATAAACTCTTGTTATTATAAAATATAATGAATTATTGTAATTTGTATCTGGGTCATTTGACATTTTTATGGACACCCTTACATATATATATATTTCATTTGTAATCAATTGATATAATTAATCTTATAAAATATTTGTTAACATATTTAAGAATCATGCTAACACCAAACAATTCAGAGAAATAATTTACATTATACAATTTTAGAATGATTAAAAATAATATGTACAGCACTACAAATTATAGAAGACATTTTATTGATTTTTTAACATTAATAATTTCTGACAAATTATGATGTAATATATTAATAAATCACTCATAACATTAGTGGATAACAAATCAAGTATTTCAATATATAATATTTATAAATTAAATTATATCTTGTATAGTTAAAAGACAAAAATAAATATACATAATTATACATATTTAAACTGTCTTCTAATCAATAATCTAGAAAGTACCACTTATACTTGAGGATTGTTATGCTTGTTGACGACTGATAAAAATACATACAAATGCTATCTAAAAAAAAATACAAAATTAATTATTAAGTATAATAAATGTATTTAATTGAAGAGATATATATTTATATTGAAGACATATAAGCTAATAATTATTAGTTATTGTAATATGATTAAAATTCATAACCAATAATTTGCATTTAAATTCAGTGCTATTAAATCATAAACACATAGATCAAAACATTTTACTTATATTTAAAAATCACTAACCTAACTACACTCCTTAAAAACAGTAATTACAAATATAACTTACCACATTTTATTGATCATAACCAATTTGGTCGATTCTCAAGTAGAAATAGGATTAACTGAAACACATTTTAAAAAGTAAATGATATTAATGAGAATTGTTTTGGATAAAACAATAAAGTAATTATTAATTTTTTAATATTTATGACACTGTCTTTTTTGTTTCTCTAATTGGAAAAAACGTTTTAAATAACACCTTGAAAATTTTTCCTTGCTATAAAAAAAGGATAGTAATATTAATCCACAAAACATTTACTTAGCTAGAGAAAGACACCACTGATGGCTGGATTTAAAGAAACAACCTAACGCATCTGAACTGCTATCATAGTCTCACTTGTCCACTTTAGTATACCTTATAATTAATGTATTTAATTATATAGAATATTTTAAGACTTTTTTTATATTTGCAATTTGAAATAAAAACTGAGACAAAAAAAAACTATCATGAAATAAATATATAAAATATATAACTGGTATCTATCCTGATTTTAAATACAATTAAATTATCATTTAGTATAAAAATTAATATGCTAGTATCTACTTAACTATTTAAATATGTGACATTAAATATATAAGAGATAAAATTCTTATTTCTTGACATTCACTAAAATGTTTAAGTATTATATAGAATAAGTATAATTTACAAAAACACTTATAAACATTTTACAGAACTTATTAAATACTTATTTTTTATTATAATGAAAAACAAAATTCTCAAAAAAATATTTAAGAATACATTGATAATATACGAATATTTTATACTCACTGAACATAAAGAGATCCTGCTTTATAATTTGATTGTTTCAAAGTGTCTTTCAATTTTTGTTTCTGTTGTATTAACATACTAGATGAGCTGGTAGTATTTGTACCATACATGGTATTGAGTACATAATTAAATCCTTTTACTGCCTTAGCACTGTTAACTTTAAACCTTTGTAGTCCAAATGCTTGAATAGCTCTAGACATCCCATACACATTTGATTCAATCCATACTGACCTTTCTGCAACTGTCGTATTAGGATTTTCATCATTCACTTTATAAATAACTTTTTCTGTCACATCCTAAAAATGCAACATATTATAAAATTAATAAAGTAATTATATAATTTATATTAAAATAAATTAATAAAATAAATAAACAACTAAAAATAAAAATAAATATTATATTAACCATGACACTTGTATATCCAATGTTTCTTGTATACGTCACAAATGTTTTTTTTTTTGGGTCAACAATTGATTCTTCGACAATTTTCACATCATTGCTATTCATGAAACGTTCACCCCATTTAGGCAACTTGTTAGTTTTTGTAAATAATCTAACAGAATGTAATTTTGAATCTATAACTTCTCTGTGCAATATATCTTCAGACAATACATGTTTGCTTAAAACATAAATACATTTTATGTAGTGGTCTAATTTCAATAAATATTCAATTGAATATTCAGTATTAATATTTATTTTTACAAATTAGGCATTTACCTCTCTGGATTAGGATACCGATGCCAGAAACCATGAACAACTTGATCCCATTTGAATGGAAAAAAACTCTTATTTTCAAAAAACTTGACCATTATTATTTTTATAACTATATATTTTTAATAAAAAAAAACCGTAACACGTATATATAGTTACACTTATTTCTATTAATTTAATAGAATACAACAATAATCCCGCACATACAACCTCAAACAATTGGACTAACGATTCCTATCTCATTTCAATATAATGTAGGACATATTATATTATTTATCTTGTAAAATAAGATAACATATTATGATAACGAGACGACTCCGATTGATAACACATTCCTGATTGAAAAATATATCGATTTCAACATAAACATAACATAAATATATTATTAAATATATTATTGGATTTCATGTCTTCACGAACGATAGTAGTAGTCCTAACCTACATAGTTGATACTTAAATTTAATATTTTTATACTAATAAATTACCTTATTCCGTAGATTGTACTGAACCATAAATCCTTTGTTTCTTTCTCTATATATTTTGTTTATGAGCGTATTGAATTTGAATTAATTTTTAGTGTCGAAAATCAAATATGAGTCATTTCAATCGATTATTATAATATAACCGTGTCTAATGCTATTATGAACATTACATAATGTATTATGTATCCATCAGGCCCCATTTTTATGTGCACCCCGACACACAATGTGCACCACGAATGTACAAGTGTGCACTACGGTTTACAAAAAAAAAAAAAAAAAAAATTATAAGCCAACTACTAGGAAATATGAGTATTATTGAATTTCTTTAAATTTATTTGTATATATTATGTATGTAATATATTCTTTTTTCTAAGACAGTAGCGAGATTAAATTTTCATTTAAAGCAGTAAAATCAAGTGTGCAGTCATATTGTACAAATAATAGGGCCTGGTATCCATAATCGACTGTGTGTCAACTTCGGTTTATAATTGAATAGCAATTTTAATTTTAGCACAGATTATCTGAAAATGTTCAATATATAATTTTCATGTCCGTGTAAAACGTAATATAATTAAGATATACGTATTATTACCATAGCATTTTCGACTACGCTAATTAAATAGGCCATAGTTCCTTTAACAAAATCTAATTTCTGTTTATTTTGCTATTTAATTATTTTATTTATTAAGTATTTGCATTGATTTTAAAATATACGTACCTATATACGATATATATATGTATATTATAAAATAAATGGTATTTGTTACCTACAATCAAGGACTGATTGACATAATTTTTCTGCTCGAGAAGATTATGATCGGCCCTCTATATAATAATATCTAATATTAGTTAGAAAAAAATAATAATGGTACCGATGGTTTTTTAAAGCAATGGGTAGGTCCATCCCCCCTTCCCTAACACCATATAAAATTGTAAAAATTACAATTTTATCTACTGACTTTTATATTTATTAAAATAAAATTAGCACACAAATAATACAGCAAAAGAAATTAAAATTAGTTCTTTATTACTTTATTGTATAATTCATTTTTCTTTTTTAACTTACCAATAATTTTTTCTGTATCTACTATTTAAAGTTGTTTTTTCTACTGTCATTAGCAAAATGTTCTCTTTTTTTTACTATGAAAAAAAATATATAACATTTACAATCTATGCAATAATTTTCACAATAAGTAAATTTGTAAAACAACATCAATTTTTTTTAAATATGAATTTGAAAATAATATGAAGTGCTTCTCACTTGTCTTAATATACCTATTTAAGTAGGTATAGAGAATGACCTATCACAAGCAACCTATAAAAATAAAAGGGATGATCATATAATATTTATAGTTAAACCTTTAGGAAAAATTATCTTACTTGAAACATTGACATAGTAAATAAAAATTTGAAAGCTAAAGTCAATGTGCTATAAGCATTAAATTAAACATGCCTAATATCATTGATTAAATATTTATGAAATCAATGCTAATATTTCATAAGCAATGTATAACAATAGGTAGCACATGTTTATAATGTTGTGTAATTATTATGTTTATTTAAGCGGTCTTCATCATTATCATCACCATTGACATTAACATAGGCGGATATCGGTGGTGCCTTGGGGGAGGGGCTTAAGCCCCCCCCAGAATGTAAACGTGAAAATAAAAAATTATGTGTTACAATATTTGATATTTATAATTTTTATTTTATTTTGTTAAGATACGAGAATGGTCTGGAATATTCACGGCTTATCGTTGTTGGGAAAATCATATTTTATAGGTATATATTGATAATCGCGAATATTCTAGAACTTGTTAGCAATACCTGTAAAGTTATAAATACGCAAGCTGCAGACCGCCACAACATTTAGTGTCGATTACGTTTTTGGAGCGTATACGGTGATCGTCTTTATTTTTATTTTTTTAATACTTTTTTTTTTTTCATCTTTTTTATTTTATTTTCAAAAACAATCTGTACAAACAAGCACATTTAGTAATTTAGATATAGAATATATACATATTTAAAAAAAAAAAAAAAACAACAACTTTTAAGGAAGTCACCCATTGGTAACACCTATGAACTTATAGTTGGATTTGGATTACTTAAGGAGATCACGATTCCAATTACGTTTGAGCCTGCGAGGGGGGGTTACCTGGGATATGCAGTGAAGCCATATCTTTAATGAGAGGATTAGTACTGGAGTTGGGTTTAGAGTGGAAACGGTGGTAGTGAATTTTGGCGTAGTCAGTGACATTAGTTTGAGGTCGTTGTGTAGTGAGAGGTTTGTCATGTACCATGGAGCACCAGTTATAGTACGTAGAACAATGTTTTGGAAAGATTGGATGGGGCGAATGTTTGAGGGTTTGGCCATCCCCCATATTTGAATACCATACGACCAGACAGGTCTGATCATTGTATTATACAATAACATTTTGGTTTTTAGATTAAGTTTAGATTTAAGAAGAGGTCGGAAGAGATGGAGTCTACTGTTGGCAAGTTTCCTTTTGTTTTGGAGATGGGGTTTCCAGATTAAACGTTTATCTAAAATTATACCTAGATACTTTGTCTCGTTCAAGATAGGTATACTTTTATCTTTAAGTTTGATGGTAGGGCAAATACCAGAGCGTAGAGCGAAAGTGACTTGAGAAGATTTGCTCTCGTTTATACTAATCATCCAGTTATTAGCCCAGTTATCTATAAGATTTAAATGTTCTTGAAGGTGTTGTGCAGCTATAGTTATGTCACTATTACTTGAGAGGATAGCAGTATCGTCGGCAAATGTAGCAAGAAGAGTGTTGACGGTTTTAGGGATGTCCATTGTAAAGATGTTAAATAAGTCAGGTGAGAGGTCGCTACCTTGAGGGACACCTGCTTCGATGCTAAACAGTGGAGAGAAAGCATTGCCGTGTCTAACCTTGAATTTTCTGTGTTCTAAATATGATTTTAGGATAAGGTATAGTGGAGCTGGCATAAATTGTTTTAGTTTGAACAGAAGTCTATTATGCCATACTTTATCAAACGCCTGTGCGACGTCGAGAAAAAGACCTGTACAGTATTTTTTATTTTCGAGCGCAGAAGCAATCGTGTCAGTTAGACAGTGTACTTGATGCAGAGTCGAATGTTTTGATCGAAAACCAAATTGAGTATTAGATAAAATACTATGCTCGGATAAGATGGGTCTGATTCTCTTGAGGATACATTTTTCAAAGAGTTTGCCTTAGGTGGGCAGCAAGCTAATGGGTCTATACGAGGTAACCATGTTTTTCGGTTTACCGACTTTCGGAATGAGAATTACGACAGAAATTTTCCAGATGGCAGGAAAGTATGATAGACGCAGCATGGAATTATAAATAAATGTTAATAATAATATCCCTTTCTTGGAGAGATTTTTTAAAACTTTGTTGGTAATAAGATCATAACCTGGAGCTTTACCGATCGGAAGTTTTTTAATGATACTATTGATTTCACCTGGAGATATAGGTTTGGTGGGAAGGGACATGGGTAGAGGAGACGAGAGGAAATTGTTGACTTTATCTGTATGACTAGGATCAGGTCTTGGATATTGATGGTTTTTGAATGTGGATTCTAAGTGCTCACCGAACAAAATAGACTTTTCAATGTCGGTTACTGCTAAGGTATTATTTTCTTTTAGGAGAGGTGGAGATAGCTCTTTGATTTTGGTTAATCTTTTTGTGGCCTTCCATAGAGAGTTGTCAGAGGTCTTTAAATATTGAAGATAAGTGGTGTAGTTTTCGTATTTATATTTTGAGAGAAGTTTTTTCAGTTTATAGGAAATTAGATTATAACTGGTTTTGTCACTGGGAAGGTGGGTGCGTTGCCAAACAGACCTAGCATATCTTTTTTCGTTAATAAGGCGGCGTAAATGTATAGGAAGAATATTTTTTGGGACATTTTGGTGCTGATGGGTTGGAATTGTAGAATTTGAAGCTGCATCGGTTATTAATTTAACGAGATTTTGGGCAGCTATTTCGATTTCGTTGATAGATTTAAGAGAGATTTTGAGATCGATACTGTCGTCCAAATAGGTTTTGAACGTTTCCCAAACAATCGGCCCATATGTGAGAGAGGGTCTGGTAGATAAAGAAAGGGTTCCACCTATTGAAAAAATAACGGGGGAATGGTCACTGGCTATATCGCAAATATTTTCAATATTTTTACTCAGTGAATTAGATGTGTTTGTGACAAAGAAATCGAGTATATCCGGGTTTCTGTTTGAATGGGTGGGCCAATATGTAGGACCTGTTGGTGAGACGGAGGAGTAGTGATAGTTAGAAATGACTGAGTGAAGAATTTTCCCCCTGTGATTGTTGGAAAAACAGCCCTACATAGGATGTTTAGCTTTAAAATCTCCTCCCGCAATAAAAGAATTACCTAGAGAGTTGAAAAAATTAACGTAATCTTCTTGACGGATGGAATTACAAGGAGGGCTGTAAACCGAGGATATTGCTAAAGGTGCATTGTTAATTTTAATAGAAATATTTGTTGCTTGGATTGATGGTTTTTGGTAAGGAACTAGAACATTGTGTTGGATTGAATTGGATACAAATATACAGGATCCAGCATGAGCTGTGCCATCGGGATGATCGGATCTGTACAATGAATAATTATGGATTTTGAAGATGGATTTAGCAGTAAAATGGGTTTCGGTTAGTAAGGCAATGTTGATTTTGTGGTCGTATAAAACGATTTCTAGTTCATTTTTGTGTTGTTGGAGGCCGTTTGAGTTCCAGAGGAATAATCTGAGAGAAGAGTTATTGTTT